TACCAGTAATACTCCCAATGGGGAAGTAATATGTTTTTCCACTAAAAATCTCATGGCATTCTATTATCATCTATGCCTCCCCATTCTAGAATTAAAAGATCTTCAGAAGAAAGATCTATATCTAAATCATCTTTGCACCTCCCATAGTTCTAACACAGTGCCTTACATATTGCTGACATTTGAATATGTCTTGAATACATTCCACAATAGAGAAACCTATTAAGTAAGCTATTTCCAAACACTATTTAAAACCAAGGAAATTGAATTAAAGTATACAATAAACTTATTCAGAATAAACTGGGAGAATGACTATAGCAAAAATAAATAACTGGATGTCAACAGGACAGAAAATCCCCCAGAAAACACAGCATATTTAAAAAACAGCATATATGCAAAAGCATCAAACTGGAGGCTGGGGAGAGTGGTGAAAAGTTGCACTTGGAATTTTCATCTCTTCTTGATACAGTTCTTGTTGCATATCCAGTATCATACACTAACTTGCTGAAACCACCTGAGATACCACATATTTCTAATAGCTGTTATATATGGGTTTAATTACTTAAATACTGAAAGAGTTTCATTTATAAATCTCTTCAACAATGTAGTACCCATGCACAGACTCTGACAGCAGGATGGTAGTAAGCAGGTCCTGGATTTTTTTACTTGGGATGGGAGCTATAAAAAAATAAGACTCCATAGGACTGCTCTTTGAATCACACCACAACCTGCCTACACAAAGCTTCACTTTTTTTTAAACTGAAGTATAACTGATATACACTCTTAGTTTCAAGTATAAAACACACTGATTCAACAGTTACCCATATCATTAAATCCTCCCCCACTAGTGCAGCTACTATTCCTCAACATAGGCAGATATTACAGTCATTGACTATATTTTCAACATGCTGTACTACTATCCCCATAACCAACCTACATTATGACTGAGAATTTTTGGGCCCTTTTATCCCTCTCAACTTCCTTCCTCACCACCCCAACCCCTCCCCCATGGTAACCACCAGTCACTTCTCAGTGTCTGAGTCTACTGAGTCCACTGCTGCAGAAACTTTCACTTTCTGCACATCTGCACATTCTTATATGGACCCTTTTTCACCCTCACTATTTCCTTTCCTTTAGGGACTACTACTGTATCAAGTGAAAACACTTTGTCCCCAGCTTCTATCACCTCTTTCTATACCCACTACAGACTTGTCACCCCTACTAAAATCACTACTACTGACCCTCTGTATCTGTAGTATTCTCAGTCTCCTCAGAACTCACCACATGCCAATCACTGGTGATCTCAAGATAGAAAGCCACTTTCACTTCCGGAGTTTATAACCCAGTGAATGGTAGCAAGATCAATAGACTGTAGACTACAGTAGGTCTGAAAGACTGATGGAGTTGGGGTACTAGAGAGACTTGAGCACCTAGACAGGAATGGTGGTTGGAAATAACAATGAGATGGCTACTCTCTATTAAGTACCTTTAATAACTAGTTACTTTTGATATTATCTCATTTAATTCTTAGAATGACTCTTAAGGATGGGCATTATTATCATTAAAGATGAAGTTAAAGCTAAGGTTAAATCACTTGCCCAAGAACAAAAAGCTACTACTATTCCAACTGGCCTTCTGGGTCACATTTTTCTTCGAGAAACAAACACCCCACAAAACTCCAATGAAGATCCCTATGAATAAACTATTTTACAGACTCACACTGTATCCATTAAAAACTTTACTTCAATGATACCCAGTTTTTAAAATGGCTAATTGGAGTATTAAAGTCAATTTCAGGTGCATTATACACCTACCTGTGTGAAAGCAAAAGGGAAGTTTTAAAAAAATAATTTATCTTCATAACCCTGGTATAGGGAAAAATTCTAGTCATAAAGAGTGATAAATGAAGAACTTTTGTTCACCAAAAGAAACTATTAAATGGGAAAAAATACTTGCAGTAGATAACATTCAGCTATACTGAACTGACTCATATTCAGAATACTTAAGTCTATAAAAAGACATGCATGTCCATGGAAAAATGTGCAAAATATTTCAAAGGCACTTTATTAAAGATGAAATTCAAATGATCAAGATATGAAAAGGTGTTCACCTCACTAGTAATCAGGAAAATTAGGACCAGGTACAAATACATACTGACCAGACTGGACAGAGTTAAAATATCTGACACTAAGTATTATTGTTGGTGAGAAATGTGGAACTAGAACTCTCACACACCAATAATTGAAATAAACACTAGTAAACAACTTTGGAAACTGTCTGGCATTATCCAATAAAGATAAAAACACATATTCCCCATGATCTTGCAATTCCAAGAAAATTACATAAATATGCATCCAATGTGCTCAAACACATGTAAGTCCTAGAGACATCGCTCCTAACAGCAGAAATTGTAAACAATTTAAACATCAACTGTAGACTATCCAAACTGCAGAATAAACTTTCATGATGGAATACTATGCCACAACAAAATTCAAAGTAAAACATATAAACAATGATTTTATTTATATGAAGTTCAAAAATTGACATAACTACACTCTATTACTTAGGGATGTAAACTTAAGTGAAAAAACTAAACGTCAGAATAATGTTTACATCTGGTTTAAGAGGGTAGTAGTCATGATGGGAAGTTGCAGGGGGCAGGAGGCTTCTGGGTTGCTGGCAGTATCTGTCTTTGGGTGGTACTTACAAGGTTCTTTGTTTAAATATATCTTATTTCTATCTATGCATCTTTTCAACATGTGTGGTTATATTTCACAATAAAAAAAAGGAAAAACTCTTGGGGGAGAAGGAGAAATTAACATCCTAAAGGGAACTTTAAATATGTTACTCAAAGAAATTTAATTCAATCCATAGTTTAAAAAAAGGTGGGTCTCTAAATCCAAATACATAATTCTAAACCCCAGGAATAAATTTTTGGCTTTAATCTGTTAAGACTGACATTCTTCATATTTTGAAAAAAGCGGTGCCTCAGATATCACATTATTTAACAAGTCATATAAATATAAAATGTAAAATTTTAAGACTAAACACTCCATTCTAATTTTGAAATTTGAAGTAAGTGCCCAGTGTTGACTGGACAGTTACATAACAACTTTAGATTAGACACTGCTAAGTAAAATAATAATCAAGATTTTAAAACACCAGTTTTTGCAAACATAATTAAATCCCCAAATCTGTTACACATTGAACAAATCATATTGCTTAAGAAAAAGTATGTTTATGTTTGTAGTATTAAATATCAAATATTATTATCATTATTTAAATTCAATGATTGAAAAAACTTTTCATTGATTTTTATTTTTAAAACTTAATTTAGCTTTTCATTGCTGTAGTCATGTAAGTCACATACAAGGAACAAATTATGTTTGGCATATGAATTTCTTATAGACTAATAAAATGTTTATTGACTTTAGAAGCTGTTGAAAAGACACATTAAAAAACGTAGGTCACTAAAATATAGACATTTTTAAGGTTTTGCATATGAGTATATTCACAGATTTTTAAAAGACTTAAGTTAATAGATTAGAAATCTTAAAAATGTATGGATTTTTTCTTTGTAAAGAGTAAAGGTAGTACAGTCAACTCACAGGTAAGTCACTTAAGCTGGCAAAATACCTTAAAATTCAAATTAGGTGAAACAAGTCTTCTTTAGAAGTTTTTAAACTACTTTAAATATTGTTTTTAACCTGCATGTGGCTCACATCAAGAATTTGAGAGAGGTTTTTTAATTTCATAAGGCCATTAAAAACTATAACACTATACAGCGAAATATCCATCTATAAAAAAAAAAGGAAACGAAGATGAAATAATTGAAAGATTCCTACCCAGGTATCAAATTTGTTTCCAAGCGGGTGTTACTGAAAGGATCCACCAGAGCATCCAAAATATCTCATTAAGGCGTTAAAAACTTGTTTGATACTGCGAGATGATTCTCCTATCAGTTAAAGATTAAAATTTATTTCACAGATCTAGAATATTTCTTCCTATTCCCGAACCACTGTCCCAACTACGTTATTCTTTCCGTAACTACCAGATGTGCTGGGAAAATTACCTTAGTTATCTTGCTTCCCTTTCCTAAGCACTCCAAATTTAAGAGATTTTTTAAGACCAGGAGATAAAGTTTATTTTCTCCCTGGTTTCCTGGCAGAGCGAAGGCCCAGCACGTTGTGAACGGAAACAAAACCCACACAGACCGTGCGATGCTTAACTACTATGCGTAGGACACCTTCCTTCTTTACACTCAGGATCAGGCATCGCCCACTGACCACTCAGATCTGTCTTCCGAACAAGAGTCCTGGATCAAGCGTGAACCCTCCTTCCCACCCCAGTTTCAGAAACAGGGTCGACGTGAGAACAGCCAGCATTTTTAAAGAGATGGTTGCACAACAGGCTTTGAGAAGAATTCCGGTTTAACAGGTAAATAGCACATACGAGATAAGTGGATGTGATCTGCTCGATGGTACCAACGACATTTCGAGACGGTTTGTGTCGCAGAACAAACCCAAAGTTTTGGCACATTACTTCAAATTCACCTGAAGAATATTGCAACGAACTGAAATTAAGAACGCTGAGAAATAATGGGTGCTGTAGAATCAAATCAGCACCAAACTCAACCTAGCCGTTCAAATTCTTTGAATACTCAGGCTTTGCTTTGTGATAAGACGACAGAACCCTCGAATGTGGGAGTTGGAAGACACTTATCTCCGTGTTCTCCGGCCCGTTCTCGGACTTCAGTGCCGCCCCGCCCGCCCCGCTCTCGGTCCTATAGTTCCCGGATTGAAAGCGCGGACCTTCGGGTGCAAGGCAGGGAGCCCGGGGGAGGCCGCGGCCCGGCCCGCGACGCTGGGGTGGGCGGGAAGGGAACGGCCTGCGGCAGGACGGAGGACGCAGGGAGGGAGTGAGGAAGCAGCGGGCCGAGAGCCGGGCGCAGCCCAGACAGGGCGCCGGGCCCGGCACCCCTCCCTGAGGCCTGCCCGGCGTACCTTTCGCTAGGGCTACGGTGGAGTTCTCTGTGTCGATGGTGTAAAGGATGCCCTCGTAGCGGATCTCCGCCTTGGAAATAAGGCTGATCTTGCTGCCGATATAAGGGGTGCCCCCGCTCATGACGCCGCCGCCGCCGCCGCTCTGGGCCGCTCCCAGAGAGGCAGATCCCACACCGCTGTCACCGCTCCGCAAGCCCGCTCGCTCCGTCGGCGCTTACAGCAGCCGCCTAAGACCCAACATGGCGACTGCGCCGCTCCACTACCCTCCCCCAGCCTCCCGCCCTCAAGCCGCGGCGCGGCGGCGGCGGCGGCGGTAGCGGCGGCGGCGCGGGGCATGCTGGGCCAGGAGGTCGCGCTCTCGCGAGACTCGGCCGGCGACAGGCGGCTCTACGCTTGTCCGTGGTTTGAGGGGTCGCGGTAGTGCCTCTTGGCCGGGTTTGTCGCAGCCGTACTTGTGCGCGGCCGAGAGGCGAACCAGAGAGAGAAGAACCTAGTGGCTCTGGGATTCCGTGCGCTGGAGTGGAGGCGTGTGCGGCCGTCCTGACCTCCGTTGCGGCCTCCGCCATTTCCAGACCCGTTGTATTTTGTTCTCAATTCTCTGTTTTTGCAAATGCGGATCTCTCTGCCTGGAAAGTTGGCCAGACGCCTCCAAGCTCCCAACGAGCCCCTTTATGTCCTGGTCCTTTCCCCTTTGAGGTAACTGCACTCCTCGTGGAGCTCTCATGGCACCATTAACAGCAGCCATAGCTGCTGTAGAGTCCCCTCCCTTTCTTCCCTTACCTGCTCCTGGAGCTGGAACTCTGCAGCACTTTCAGATGGTCTTATCCAAGCTCGTGGCTTTGTGCCATTGTACACAGACCAGTCCGAAGTATTTGCAGCCTTGATCAGTTCTGTAAACTCTGGATTCATAAAAGTCGCAGCTTCCTCAACCTCTAGTTGGATATTGGCAACTTTATGCGTTCAAAGTTATAATTCCAGTTTTTCCTTTAAACCTAACCTTTCCCCACTGTTCACCTTGACATGGTAGCTGGTACCATTTACTGCATTGCTCTTACGTGGAGTCATCCTTGACTTCTCTGTCACCCCTACATCTGTTCTGACTACAAATCCTGACCATTCCACCTATAGAATATATCTTGAATCTGATTAACGTCTCACCATCTCCATTCCTGCTTCTCTAAAACAGACTTTGATCAGAATTATTGTAATAGCTTTCTGCAAGTTCTCTTTGCCTCAGCCCTTGCGCCCAACATTTTTTCTCAACAGGGCAGCCAGAGGGATCTTGTTAAAGTGTGAGATCAAGTCCCCCCTCAATACTCCTCTCTCCAATGATCCCATGTCACACAGAGTGAAGCCAGACTCCTTTGGCTTACAAAAACATACATGATTTAGCCTGTTGTTACCTCACTTTACCATTTAACCACTCCTTCTTAGCCCAGAACTTTTGCGCTTAATTCAGATCTCGAATGTTACTTCCAAAGATGACTTTCTTCACTGCCCTGTTGAAAATAATACCCACCTGCATCACTCTACACACCTTTACTCTGCTTGCTTTTTCTTCACAGCATTTTTCTCTCCCAAAAATGTCTAATTATTTTTGTGTGTCCCTTGCCTTCACTAGCACGTAAATGTTTTGAATAAAGGACATTGTTTTGGTTACTGCTGTGTGGTTAGGACCTAGTAGAGGGCCTGGCATAGGGCAGCTTCTAAATAAATTACTGTATAAATGAACAGTTGGGTGAGAACAGCACAGGCAGGATGTCTAGTGAACTGAGTGAATAAATGATGAGAAGCCTGGCAACATGGAGATGGGGAGGCAAGAGAGGAAACGAGAGGCTGTGGTGGGTTTGGGGCACAATGGCTTCAAAGGAAAGCGATGAAATACCTGCTTCAGTGTAAGGTTCCCAACAGGGAGTAGGACTCTTATGCCTGTTCTTTTCTCCCCCTTCCAGGCCTGGAACCCAGCTTACTACCTTTTCATGCTTCCTGAGTGAGCTCATCCTTCTCCATCTTTAAGCTGATGACTCCCAAATTTATATCTTCATTCCAGATCTCCAGTTTTCCAGATCACACAAAGTAGGTACTTACTAGATGAAATTGCTTGGCTGTCCCACAGGCACTTCCAACTCAACATGTTTGAAATTATCTGCATCTACTGAGACAGGGACCGTGGGTGTAGTCAGTAGGGTGAGGGCCTCCGGAAAAAGCAAGGCAGGTATTTGCAGTCAGCACAATGTAACTACATGCAAGGAAACCCCCTACTAAAACTCTTGTGTTAAACATTCAGCTCTAGAGTCCTTCTTCAGTGAGATAAGTTAATATACCCCAGATAAAGAAGAGTAGCACATGTTTATTTTATGCTAATCATTTATAATCATGTGTAAGATTCACTTTAACATGCTAAAAGGTCCAGGCCTGTGTGCTGTCTTTTCTCCTTCAGATCTGATGAAGTGATTTTGCAAACTGGGCAGACTAATTTAGCAAGTAAGCCCACGCATAAGCAACACAGTAAAAGGCAAGAGGATTCCACCTTAAAGATAAGATTGCACTTAATTTACTCTTTAGCAAACAATGCCTCAGCCCACCTTGGGGTCAGGCTGAGCAGGTGGTCTTGTTTCATTTCCCCCAGACCGAGATGCTGGTATCTCAGGGAGAAATCAACAGAGCAGGAAGTTACTTGTACCAAGTTAATTCTAAATATCCTAGGACCACTTAATAAGTCCACACCCCTAAGCTTTTTTCATGGTCTCGAAAAATCCTCATCTGCCTATAAAACCCCTAGACAACGCACCACCCTGGACTCTCTTGTCCCCTCCTGGCGTCCTTTCACTTTATCTCTAAATAAAAGCCTGTACCTTGCTCTCCTACCTTGAGTGTTTGTGAAGCTCATTCTTTGGCTTTGTGAACAAGAACCCCGGCATCACTACTACTCTCCTTCCCCAAAATAAACCTGTCCTTCTTCTGTGCTCTCATCTCCATCACTGGCCCCAAGACTCACCCAGGTGTCCCATCCTGAAACCAAGAGTCCTTATCTCATTATACCCAATCAGTCACCAGTCTTGGTTCTACTTTATGTTTTGCAACTCATGGTTTCCTGCACCCTAGGGCACAAGGAACTATGCATAACTGCAGCTGATCAGTGGTGGTAGCCCATAGAATCTGCATGTGAATCTCCAACTTATGTGCTGGAAAAAGGTTGAGAACTGTGAGACATTTCACTACTATAGTTGTGAAAACCCAAATCTCATATTGCGCCCCTGCTTAAGAGCCACTCATGACTGCTGGTAGCCTACAGAAAAGATAACTCTCCACTGAATATTTCCAGGAGTAGAAGCTCTAGAATTTTTATATTGGAGGGATTAAGGAAAGGCAGTCTGGTTGAAAGGGTAGATGGGGAGTGTCGGAGGCCCAGCCAAATCTGTGTTTCTAGCTAGGACACTTTTTTACTTATATTTGTTTTTTCTTGGTGAGGCTGGGAAAGTGTCTTGTAGAGAATATGGGAGAAACAAGGCTCCTTTCCTTCATCATCTTTTGGTGTGGCAACTGGGATTTGGGACCCTTTCTACAAAAAAAGGGCATCTGGGCCCTTGAGGGAGAGGGGTGAGCCAGTCCAGAGGCTGCAGAATAGAGATTCCTGTTCTGTCCCAGAAGGGGCCTGACCAGGAGGCCTTCCTCTGGATTCTCTGAAACTTGGTGTCCCTTCGTTCAGGAGGGCCACTGGGTCTCAGAAGGTGCTATTTAGAAGAAATGTATCCCTGGGGGTCCATGGTCACCTGCATGAAGGCTAATGTGTACTTGCCAGTTACCCAGACCTCTGTGTGGGCACAGCCCTGTGGGCATCAAAGCAGAGTTGCCACCTCTGGGGTGTGGGTTGGGGCAGCTTCAAGCACTGAGGCAGGGCGACAACCACCACCTCCCCACTCTACTGGTTTGTTAACCTGCCAGGGAGCTCTTGCTATGGTTCTTTGTCCTGTGTGTTCTACATTTGTCAAGATCTACAAAGTTGTAAAACATTCATACTTGAAGAGTTGCAGGGTGATGTATTTTTTCAAAGAAGAAAAGACTACAGATCTTCTTGACTTACAGTGGGGTCATGTCAGATAAGCCTATTTTAAGTTGAAAATATCCTAGGTTGAAACTGTATTTAATACATCCAACCTACTAAACATCATAGATTAGCCGAGCCTACCTTACACATCCTCAGAATGCTTATGTTAGCCTACAGTTGGGCAAAATCATCTGACACAAAGGCTATTTTATAATAAACTGTTGAATATCTCATGCAGTTAATTGAACAACAGAGTGGTTGTGTGTATACAGAATGGGTTGTAAATGTATCAGTTGTTTGCCTTTGTGATCCTGTGGCTGACTGAGAACTGCTTTCTGTTGCTTCCTAGCATCACAAAGAGTATGGTAAACCCTGGAAAAAAATAAAAATTTAAAATTCAAAGTACAATTTCTATGTGTTGGATGGGTATCCCTTTTATACCATTATTAAGTTGAAAAACTCTAAGTTGAACTATCATAGGTCAGGGACCATATGTCACTGATTGAATTTTCTGGTATGTTAAATTGTATTACAATTAAAAATATTCAGTCTCCTCATATTATGACCCTATTAAATTAAGGTTATATAGCACCATCCTTATAAAATTTAAAAAGCTGAATTTTATGAATATAAATACTTTTTAAAATTAAAAAACAGGCAACATATGAAAATAAAGCAGGAAAGAACTTCCAAATGCTATTGTATCAAGGTATTAGATATAAGGTTTTATAGTAATTTTTCTCTCTGTATTAGATTTATTCTGGTTATCCATTGCTGTGTAACAAAGAACTCATAATTTAAAACAATTTTTATCATATTTCACAATTTTATGAATGAGGGAATTGAGCACAATTTGACTGAGCGATTCTGTTCCATGTAGCATCAACTGGAATCACTAGTCGTGGCTTGTCTGGCCTAAGGGGTCCAGAGTGTCTTCACTCACATGACTCTTTGGCAGGAACAGCTAGAAGGCAAGGACTTTTATGACGTGGTGAAGCCATTTTACCAGCCTGGACTGTTGACTGTCTTGTGCCAGTATTAGTTTGGCTCTCTTTTAACTCATAGCCAAATGCATGTCCTAAATGATGCAAAAATAAAGGTAACTAACATTTACTGAATGTCCACTTTGTGCTAGGTATTGGGTCAGTCATTTTATGTATGTTGGAGGAGCCACATCTCACACAGGGTTGAGTCCTAAACCCAGCATGGTAGTTGTTCGGTTC